GGGATTTCACATCGGTAAAAGTCAGAAACTTTACATTTGGTTATAATCCGTAAAAATTTTCAACCCACTATACCAGTAAATGAATTAAATTTTTGATTATCAAAGAGATTTGACATCGGCATACTATTAAGTGATTTTCATCCCGGGGTTTCTTATTTTGAAAATTTAAAAAATCGGCGATTTAAATTTTAAAACCTTCAACGTCGGGATATTTTAAGAGTTCCCTTTTATTGGCCCATAATCGTTAGAGCACTCACCCTCGTGTTATCCCCTAAGAGAATTCACATCGGCGTTTTTAACAAAAACACTTCACATTGGGTTTTTATTCCCTAAAGAAATTTTACTCGGCGTATTAAAGAGAAAAACTTTTACATTCGGGTAATAAAAATGGAATTCAAAGTCGGCGATAATTGTACGAAACTTTTAAAGTCGACGATAATCAAAAAGAAACTTCCCCTCGCTTCACTAGTAATTTGAATTTCATAGTTTAAATATTTAAGCGATTTCGACGGTTTAAACCCAGCTTTCAATTCCCCTGGGGTTTTTAATCAGAAAAAAGAACTGAATCCCATTTGCGTTATAGTTTTAAAAAAAATTAACTCGGCGTTATAAGTATGGGGAAATTCCCCACTTGTGCTGATCAGTAACTTCCCTTAAAAGGTATCAGTAAAAATAATTGAATTTGGCAAAAAACATCAACGAAAAACTTTTAAATTTTAAAGGAAGTTTAATTCGAGATTTCAGTGAAAAACTTCCCTCAAAGAAATTAAACCTTTTGGGGAGTTCCCATCGCGAAAAGGTCAGAACTTCATATCGGTGATTTAAACCCGGGGAGAATTTAAATAAAGATTGTCGTCCCGAACATTTAGTCGGGGGGTAATCCTTGGGGATTTTCCCCCCAGGGTAAAAATAGCAATTCCATCGATGATTTCCCTAAGAGATTTAAAAAATCGGCGTAATCATAAGAAAATTTAAAATTGGCGATTAAACCCTTTTAAGGAATTCAATGGCGTTATCAAAAAGGAAATTTTCCCTTGATGGTTATTTTATAAGAGATTTCCCATCCCCCGATTTTCCAAAACATAACTTCACCTCGGGGATAATCAGTAACGAACTTTTACTTTATGGGTTTTCAAAAAGGAAACTTCAAAAATCGGCGAAAAATTTAAAAAGAGAATTTCATTCGCGGATAAACAGTAAGGGGAATTTATTTGGCGTTATCCGTAAAAAGGGAAATTACATGGGATTTAAAAAGAGAAATTTACATTTATGAAATTTTTATAAGGTTTTACATCGGTGTTAAACCATAAATAAATTCACGTCGGCGTAATTTAGTAAACGAACTTTAAAAATTGAGGTTTTTCAAAAAAGAATCTTCACATCGGGGGATAATTTAAAAAAGAGAACTTTTCTTCGCAATTATCAGTAGGGGAATTCCCTATTGGCGATAATCTGGAAGAGGCTTCACATGGCGTTTAAACTGTAAAATAATTTTCATCGGGGATAAAAGTAAAGGGGGTCCCAAACGGCGATAATCTGTAAGATAACTTTTCATTTGGCGAAAACAGAAGGGAAATCCCCTGGCCCATAATCAGTTTGGGGAACCCCCTCGGCGTAATCGGAAGGAAAATACATTGGGGTTTAAAAGTTTAAAAGGGTACACATCCGTTTAAAAAGTAAAGGGGAAACCCCCTCGGCGATAACAGTAAGAGAAATCCCTCGGCATTCAAATAAGAGAAAATTTACAAAGCGTAATTGGGAAAATAACTTTACATCGGCGTAATCAGTAGGGAAATCCCCATCGGCTAATTTAGTAAGGGGAATCCTCGGCCCTAATCTGTAAGTTTTTTAAACCCCCCCATAACGTTAAAGGGGAATAACGGCGATAATCAGTAAAGGGAAACCACATCGGCATAATCAGTAAAGGGGAAATCCAATTTGGCGTAAAACAGTAAAGGGGAATCCACATCGGCGGGTAATGTAAGGGGAAACCCCCAAACGGGCCCTAAACCTAAGGGCTCACTCGGCCCATTTAATTTGAAAAGGGAATCCCCAAAACCCCGGGGATAATCCCCCAAGAAACTTCAATCGGCCCCATAAACTTTTAAAATAACTTTAAAATCGGCGATAATCAGTAAGAGATAACTTCACATCGGCGATAAGATTTAAGATATCAGTAAGGGAAACTCCACATCGGCGATAATCAGTAAGGGAACTCCACATCGGCGATAATCAGTAAGGGAACTCCACATTGGCGATAATCAGTAAGGGAACTCCACATCGCGATAATCAGTAAGGGAACTCCACATCGGCGATAATCAGTAAGGGAACTCCACATTGGCGATAATCAGTAAGGGAACTCCACATCGGCGGATAATCAGTAAGGGAACTCCACATCGGCGATAATCAGTAAGGGAACTCCACATCGGCGATAATCAGTAAGAGAACTTCACATCGCGATAATCAGTAAGGGAACTCCACATCGGCGATAATCAGTAAGACAACTTCACATTGGCGATAATCTGTAAGACAACTTCACATTGGTGATGTGTAAGACAACTCCACATTGGTGATAATAAGTGAATGTCGTGTCAGCAACAGGCGATCTACCATCTTTTAACTGTTATATTCAGTGATACTTGAAAATATGTAGTTTTTTCATTTTTTAGATTTAAATTCCCCATGTCAGTATCTCTTAAAAATTTGATTTCATTTAAATGACTCAAATCAGGGACTTTTTGAAGTACTATTACTTTATTTTTACTTGAAAACTGGGTGTGATTAAATTTTAGAATACATTAAAATCGAAAGTATCTTTGGTTTTTTAATAAAATGCAGAAATTTTACGAAAAAGAATCGATATTTTTTTTAGCTAAAAAATATAGATCTATATTGGGATTCATTGCCTTTCATTATTTTTTTATCCAAATTTACAAAATTTAGTTTCTTAGTTTTTTATTGTATGGGGGATTTTTTACCCCGTTGTCGCCTTATTTTGAACGGATTTTCCCCAGGAAGCCCTTTAATTTTTGAATTTAAATTTAAACGGGGCCCCTAGACGAAGTATGTCATTGGAAGTAAAACAATTGTTTTTATATGGCGGTCATTTATAAAAATGCAGCGTTTTTGGTCGTATATAAAAAGAGAAAAAAACAACAACAACTTAAAAAGCGGTGATTCAACAATAATCTAATTACTGGCTAATAAGCAGCCCTGTGTAAAACATACGGGGAAACCAAAATAATCTAGATTGGCAGTAGATCTACTTGTCATTTCTTTTTTAATTTGGTCATGAATGGGTTGTATATAGAAAGTTAGTAGGCCTAATTAATTGTACTTCAGAAACGGAGTATGCATTGTTGTTGGAGATGACTTTTACCACTTTGTATCAGTGGCCGAAAGTTTCCCCTTAAAATCCACATTACTGTCACCAAAGCTTTAAAGATTGTTACGTATATATTTTCAAATTAAGATTTTTGTCAGTTGTAACAAGAGTACTATACACGGATGATAAAACCTGTCTATGCGATTGCTTCCCATTACGACACTTAAGTAGTGTGTTAATTAACAGTTTTCTCCCCTTGCAGAAAAACGCCATGATGGAGCGAGCAGAAGGTAGGGAAGCAGAAGCAGGGGTAACTTTTTCACACAAATGAAAGTACTCGTTTATATCCCAAACAACCAATATTGAAACAGTTAAGCTGTTGAGCCAATAATAAATGGTAGTGAAAATGCTTTAAATATAGGCATACTGGTATCGAAGCAGTATTCGTCAATGCGGTTATTTTCGTTTACTGAAACTCTTCAAAATTGAAGGTGAGTTTTTTTCAGAACAATATTCACGGTAGGGAATCACGTGACTTTTACGGTTACGCGTACAGACAATATGGCGGCCTAAAAACCTCGCTTCACACGTGTTTTTCAGGTAATTCTTTATTATATCCCTTTTACTTACATACGAGACCTGTTGCAGCCTACGCGGAATAAAGAATTGTTGCCGCCTATACCTTATTTTCGACCCCTGTGCTCATAGCTTTTACAAACACTTAAAAATTCAACAGGAATTTTCAATGTTAACAATTATTTTTGAGGTAACTTTCACGCAATCTTTGTATTTTTTATTAATTTGATTAAACTACGCCGAGTTAGCAAAGAGAAAATGTTCATAGAATTTCTTTATTTGAAAATGTAAATATTAGGCATGTTAAATGTTGACTAGTCATTTTCAATTCCAATACACGAGGGAAAAATGATTTGGGTAACGGCCACGCAAACTTTTATTGTTGATAACTCCCACGCAATATTTTATGTGCAAGCAATATCTATGCAGGCTATAGCCTAGATATTTATTTAACAAAATCATGATCGATGTATTTAGCCTTAAACGTTCATAGAATTTTGAATTATATTTAAAATACCGCCAAAAGGTCCTTGATAGAATTAAGCGCCTATGGGTAGCAGAATACATACTCACGTAATTATATTAAATGAAGTTTCGATATAGAGATATATAGAGGATATTTGTTTAGTTCAGTGTAAGATCGGAATATATTTCACCGAGTGAGCACCAAAAGGTATATTTCACGAGTGGCGCAGCCACGAGTGAAATATGAACTTTTGGTGTTCACAAGGTGAAATATATTTCAATCTTACACTAAACTAAACAAATTTTCTTTTTATTACATGCAAAGAAACGTTTTAAAAAGACAATAAATCTAATAATTAATGAAAAGCGCGCCAAATAATAATGCAACGTGACGTCATTTACGACGTCACGTCATTAAGTTGGTACCCAGTACTGTGCACGCTGCTATTTCACTGAAACAACGTAAGGGGCTTAAATTCCAAACAGTGAAATTATCAAAGTGGTAATTTCACTAATTCAAACAGTGAAATTACCCGTTTTATATCACTGATATATTTCTATAAACCACCGAAAAGCATGTAATAAAGATGAATTAATCGCAGAAATTAAAATAAAAGTCTCAAATATAAGAAGGAGGTCGATTTCAGTTTAAGCACAATTACATGTACAGTTGTCATTTTTCATAGTTTGCAGATATGGACGGTTGCAGCTCGGATATTGTTTGTGGATAATGTTGGAAAACATTTCGTTCATGGACAGGTCTTAATGACCACTTAAACTGGCTACTCGGCACAGGACCTTGTAAACGTTGTGGCAAATCGAACTGTCACAGGTATGGCATTTTAAGTACTGTTAATATTAAGATTTTAAAGACATTCAAATCATTTTATCACTTAGTTTCTTATGTAACCAATCATTTTTAAAATTAGCGTCTGTATTTAACATAATTATGTTTTTTTTATTCTAAAGCAAAAAACAACAACAAGAGGGCCATGATGGCCCTGAGTCGCTCATCAGAAACAACTGTTTTTCAGTGTTGGATTGTCAATATATTCTATTATTTAATTTTACCCATGATATATGGTGATATATCAGTCAAATATATTTCATATTTTTTTAAAAAAAAATAAGAAATATAAATATGAAATTGGGCGGAGTCAAAACTCATATTTATTTAAAGGGACTTCTTTCACCATTTTGTTTGAAAAATCGGATAAATACAAACAACTTTTTGTTGAATTTTGTTTTGAAAACTATGTAGAATGATAGAAAATGGTCTATGAAAATAAATCCGAACACCAATATCTTTAATGCAGTCTTTAACGCTGTACAGACATTTAAAAAGAGTTGTTTACGTGACGTCACAATGTAGCGCTAAATATCGCGTGCAAAACAACACAATAATTATATTACTGCGCGCTGTACAATTGAAGTTGCGTAGCAAGCAAGTGGGTTCGTAACCATTTTTGTTTGATAATGGAATTAAATAAAAAGGTAATTTCTTCGTTTTTCGTGAAATATGGTATATATTTTCACTCAACATGATAAAATGCCACATATTTTCCTCGCCGTCCCGGCTCGCGAAAATATGTGGAATTTTATCATGTTTCGTGAAAATATATTCCATATTTCACGAAAAACGAAAAAATATCCTCTTAATATTAAATTTGAGCATAGAATATGTTTAAACAATAATTTGAAGAAATGCCATGACCTGGGGCATTTAAGCTTTAGCTTAAACGGCTCCAATCAAATTAATATGAGCAAACTTGATAAAAGACTACCAAAGAATGCTACAGACAAAGTTTGGTGATCATCAATCAATTAGTTCTCTACAAATAGACATTTAACGGTATTTCTATTTTTAGCTTTAGTGGCCCCTAAAAGGGGCTAATCAGATTAATATAAAAGAGTACCCATGAATGCTACAGACAAAGTTTGGTGATCATCCATCAATTGGTTCTGAAGTAGAAGATGTTTTTAGCTATAGCGGCCCCTAAAATAGGCCAATCAAATTAATGTGAGCAAACTTGATAAAAGATTACCCAAAAATGCTACAGACAAAGTTTGGTGATCATCCATTCATTAGTTCTATAGGAGAAGCTGTTAAAACATATTTCTATTTTTAATTTTAGTGGCCCCTAAAAAGGGCCAATCAAATTCATATGAGCAAACTTGATAAAAGACTACCCAAGAATGCTACCGACAAAGTTTGGTGATCATCCATCAATTAGTTCTGTAGGAGAAGATGTTTAAAGGTTTTTCTATTTTTAGCTCTGCTGACCCCTAAAAAGGGCCAATTGGAATGACATGTGCAAATTCAAGTGTGACTGTCACAAGGATGCTACAGACCAAATTTGAAGTGAATCTGCTTAGTATTAGAAAAGAAGACGATTGTTGACGCATGACGACGGACGATCGACGCCGGAGCATCCCCCTTTGATACTAAGAGCTCACCCTGCGTAGAATATGTCTTTTTTTACAAACTAGGTAATAAAATCTAGAGGTCTTATGCCGGCTCGCCACGGCGAGCCGGTATTACGATAGGATTTTACTGAGAAACAACCTAAAACTCCGAATCTATCCAAAAATTTAATCGATGCTTGGCTTCCAGCTTTCTACAAAATTTATCTGTCAGGGCTGGAATCCAAAATTATTTAGCCAATCAAATGTAATCTTACATAGTGTCAAAAAACCTTCAATTTTCACGCCATATTTAAAAAGCAGCAAGTATTGCTTTGAGCGCAAAGATATAATGATGATTAAAATGTTTGTTTTCAGGAATTCTTTTCAATAAATCATATTTACACTGACTTTTGATTTAGCGATTTCACCTGTTTTCTCTGTAGAAAGTTTCCGTTTGGTTAATTAACATAAGTGTACATCTGGTTCTGTGCATTTTTTTCTTTTTCCTTTTTTCCGGTCATTTTATCCTTTCTGGTATTTAGTGTATGTATTTACTGGCCGGGATCCGGGACGCCCGGGATCCGGGATCGTATTAGATATAGAGGAAAAATTAATAAACTATATTTGTGTTGATTATTGTCGTAATGAAAGGCCATTAAACGTTAAGTTTTTATTTTTTTATTGTTTGTAATGAACGTTAAATTAATTTAACTTAGGATATAGATATATTTAGAGCTATTTATTAACAAACTTAAAATGCGGAAGTCACAAATCTTATAATTATATGCCTAATTAATTGGAAAAATCAAAGACTATATTCTTGAATTGGTCAAATCCCAGGATCCCTATATGTTTTAATACGATCCGAGCTTATATGAAAACTATATTCTTGAACTGGCCAATTCCTGGGAGCTCTATATATTTTAATACGATCCCGGCTTCTCTGAAAACTATATTCTTGAACTGGTCAATTCCCGGGATCTCTATATGTTTTAATACGATCCCGGCTTTTCTGGCTGAAATGATAGTCAACTTGTGTTTACTTAAGGACTTGTATATGTCACTCATTCTAATACTAAATAACATATTACAACTTAACTTCGTATAAAGAGACATCCCTATCTAACATTTTTTTGGTCAAGGTCAATAGGCCATATAGTAAATGTGCATAGACATATGGACTTCATTCTATCTGTTTACATGCATCTTCATATATACTCATACTGAGAGAACTGGCTTCCATAACTTTATATGTCACAACAGAACTGTCATTTTTACAATTAAACACACCCCTGGAAAAAAGTTACGAAGCGAGTCGCTACTAGCTTTTTTAAAAGCTAACCTTGTGTTTGAATGTTATTTTAATACTAACAGTAAAACCCGTAACGTTTCCGATTTGCTGAGCTATAAAATGTTTTACCACAAAAGTTATAAGGTCCTGTGCCGATGTGGTCATTCCGTGAATGAAATGTTTCCCACATTTATCACAATCAATATCCGAGCTGGAAACTTTCATATCTGCAAAATATGAAAAATGTCAACTGTAATTATACTAAAAAAAGAAATACAAAACCTCCTTCTAATATTTGATACTTTTGTATTAAAACGCGACCTAATTGAATGATTTGGGTTTGGTAGGCCTTACGCGAAGTTATTGATGTCCTTGGCAATTTGTGATTTTACAGGTCATGCCTTTTTGAAATCTGTTTATCGTATTATTGTAACCTATAAGCAGATGAAGTGTTGTTCGGCCCATATCAAGAACGTCCCAAGACGATTCGTCAATCTAGTTTCATTATATCTTAGTGATAGTAAAATTAAGCGTGAATTAGTTTGAAAAAATCATTATATCCATTGCATTATCGACACAAATATTGATTAAACTGTTCTTTAATGTTAAATTTTAAGCTTAATTGCCGTGAATTTATAGGTAATAATAAATCTATTTTTATATTCTAGATCCTGGTCCTGGCTGAAATTGAGAGTATTGCAGCTGTAGCTTGTATACCATACATTTAACATGAAAAGGACTGTCAGGTTGTTGAATTGAAATTCTAATATTTAATATATATATATTTCTTTACAAAGTATTAATATTGCAACTACTAGACATTTATCTTGTCTATTATGTATATTATTTTTAGAATACTTGTGTAACATTATTAATATAAAATTTACATATTTGTTGTTTTCAGGATGCTGCATACAATGGTCTTAGCTAGAGCCTAGAATGAATATTTCTTAGGAAATATGCTGCAAGAAACTGAAGGGGAGCAGTTTTTCTTACCAATCATAGGTGAGACTTTTAAATAGCTTCTTTTAAAAAAGTTTTTGTTGTTTTTATGTACATAATTTGCTGTCAATATGAAACTTCAGCTGTATCTTAATTTCTATGCTGTTTTATTATGTAAATCTTAGAGATAATCATTTTAAGATAAAACATATCACTAACTTGATTAATTATATATCTATATTTAAGATTGACCAAGTCACTTTTAATTAGTAACTTTTTATTTTATTTGCAGAAGCAATAAGAGACAGCCAACGAAGTATTCAAACACCATCATGAAACACTTAAGACATACCAGGAGAGATCTAGAAGAAGTACTAGTAGTAGAGTGGAACAGATTGTAGCTTAATTGTAGCTAAAAGGACTTCTTAAATCGTTAAAATTAAAGCTGCACTTGAACTGTCTTTTTTTTTGTTAAACAGTTAAACTCTGTTACTTTGCTTTATATTAAAATTGAAGTATGTTGAAATGACATTGAAACTTTAACGTTGTGCCAACGTTGAATTTCAACGTTAGTTAAACTTTCAAATCCGAACATAAATCCAACGTTATTTCAACGTTAAAATCTGACCAAAATTCAACGTTGTTCAACGTGTATGTGCCTGCTGGGTTAATTCTATCCAGGACCTATTGGCGGTATTTTAAATATTATTCAAAATTATTTCACACAAAAGTCTGAGGCTAAATGCATCAATCATGATTTGTTAAATCAATATCTAGGCTATAACCTGCATAGATATTGCTTGCACATAAAATATTGCGTGGGAGTTATCAACAATAAAGGTTTGCGTGGCTGTTACCCAAATCATTTTTCTCTTGTGTGTTGGAATAGAAAATTACGAATCAACATTTAACATGCCTAATATTTACATTTTCAAACAAAGAACTTCTATGAACATTTTCTCTTTGCTAACTCTACGTAGTTTAATCAAATTCATAAAAAATACAAAGATTGCGTGAATGTTACCTGAAAAATAATTGTCAACATTGAAAATTCCTGTTGAATTTTTGAGTGTTTGTAAAAGCTATGAGCACTGGGGTGGAAAATAAGGTATAGGCGGCAACAATTCTTTATTCCGCGTAGGCTGCAACAGGTCTCGTATGTAAGTAAAAGGGATATAATAAAGAATTACCTGAAAAACACATGTGAAGCGAGGTTTTTAGGCCGCCATATTGTCTGTACGCGTAACCGTAAAAGTCACGTGATTCCCTACCGTGATATTATTCAAGGAAACTTTCGTTCGACAGAATTTCTTCAGTCTAAAATAAACTTTAGACAGAATCGTTCTCACCTTTATATTTTACAAGCAGGTGTGTTTACATTTTTCGCGTGCTTACTGTTGCGCATGCGCAAAGGATAACTCCATTAGGCACAAATTAAGACAAGTTTGCCCCCTTTGCCAGCGAATACAGACGACATTTCAAAAGTCGCTAATAATCATTCAAATTTCATAACAGTCAATAAATATAAGCTAGAGCTATGTGTTGTTGACATTTTTAATCAACAAATCATGAAATAAAAGCAAAAATGACAGAAATGGGAATTTTCTTTTACCCAAGGGAGGCAACACTGTTTATTATAGTCTACATTCTAACAGTAGGTTGTTTCCCGTATAGAAGGCTATTTTTATTATGGGGCACCTTATGGGGTGTTTAGAATAATTTTACAGAATTTCTTTTATATATTTTCGTACTTGAAATTTAATATGTGTTATGGATTCATGAATGCAATAACACTGGAATATGCGATCTTTCACAAGTCAAACTTTCACCCTTAATTAAGTTTATGATGCACCGATCGTTGTAAAAAACTTAGATCTATTTACATAGAATCTAGCTATGCCAAAATAATATTCACTAGTTGCAGATTTAAAACGGTGCGAAATACACCGGAAAACGCACCGCTGAACGAAAATTTGTTCTTCGGAGTATCCCCCCTCAAGCACTAGGACCTGCCCAGTTGGCCGTACGTATCACAAAATCGTGACATGGTCAAGATAAAAATAAGTTTTTGTTTTGCGATAATGTACTTGAACAATATTTATTCCAGTCCCATTAGTGATAAATACTTTCTATAGATAATCGTATTATTTACTGTTTATTTTATCTGGGACAGAACGATCTTCTGTCCCAGATTTTATCCATAAAACAGACATATATTAACAACAATTTTTAGTTCAAGTAATAACTGTTAACACTGACATAGAAATCGATATTTAGCTGTTCTTTCTTCTGCATGTTATCTTATCGGTTAAATGTACATTAAAGTTACATTAAATAAATATTTAGACCACAGCTGTTTTCTCTCGGCCAATCAGAGAAGTTTAAAAGTGTTAGATATATCCCACACATCACAGTAAAGTGTTTGATATAACTATCATGTTTGTATTAACCCGTTATGTGCACGCTTTATAAATTATGCGGGGGAAAATTTCTATGTATATGGTAAAGTAAATAGTGTAATTCCCCTTTTAAAATCAAAGAACAGAAGGCGCTGAATTTGTTTGGGTCTTAGAATGCCAGAAAGGTGAAGGTTGTGAGATTATAAACCAATTTGTTTTTGTATAGTGCCACCAATGCTTTCCAGCGTTTTAATTGTAGTAAATTGGCTATAAGACTAATTGCAACACTGATATTCAATTCAATGTTTATTTGACCTTAACGATTTGAAAAAAATAAGTTGCCTTAATTGGGATTTGAACTCCAGACCTCTTGCTTCCTAAGGGAGCGCGCAAACCCCTCGGTCACGGTGAAGTTATATGTTAACGGCCTGACGAAAACCATATTATTCTAAATTAGGGTTTGTAACCTTATTATTTCGACGCTAACTGTTGTTTAACACAAATGTAAATAATCATGGAGCTTACTATAAGCATGTATATCTATAAAGAATTAAACAATATAGGAAATATTCGACCATCCGGGAACTATTTTGCTTGGAAATTAATGCGCCTGTCATTTGACCATCTTAACGCAGTGATCTCCCCTGAATTTTTCGGCGTTAGTGTACACATAAAGGGAATTAACCGCTTCAAAAAAGCGGAATGCTTTCGGCATTTGCAATTAACAGCATCAGGGTCTGAAATTTCGCTACCAATATTTGTTTGGTCTGACGACCCATACAAATAAAAAAAACCTTACAGATAACAATAGTCCTTTTACCAATATATTTCGTCATTTCAATAGTTACTGTATTTGTAAATAAGAAAAAACAAGCAATAATAAAATGAAATGCGTTTATCAAAAACTACTAAAATCTATATATGTATCTTATTTTTACGACCCCTTTGTGCTACTGTAATATTGTGGGGCACATATTTCAATGATCTCATCCTGAACTATGCCTGGCTCACTCTTAATAGCAGACATTGTAGATTTACATTCATTTACTGGTTTGGGAAGAGGGGATTCCACTAGTGGGGAAGGGGGTGGAGTTTCCGAAAGGTTACTGGGCTGCAGCTGCAACACTAAGGAAATGCTATGCTTTATGGCTTCAGAGGGACGTTTGTAATACTTTTTAGTTCATGAATGAGGTAATAAACGTCAATGCAGGATGTATATTTATAAACAAATCTATACGTCAAGTAAAATATTTTCAACTTCAGCCGGACAACCAATAAATATCCTGTCCCATAAAATTGTTTAAGCATTAAGGAAAACGTTTAATGAAAGTTACCTGCCCGTTTCTCCAACACGCCCACTCTTGATAAGCAGCCATCGCCCATGATTTCTGTCTAAGAGTATTTTTCGGAAAGCAGTCTTAGCTTGCCTCTTGACTTATTATTCAAGCGCTGTGTACGGTGCTGTCATTAAATCATTTAAATGAGGAATCAACAGGAATAACAACAAAATCTTCCATGTTGCGAAATTGTAATGTCATCACATTCAGAAATGTTAAATTTTTCCCAATTTTTTCCCAATTTTCTTCTGAGTAGAAATTTATAATGGAATGTGAAATCTATCATTCATAAAATTGTGTATTCAGTGACTTATGAAATAACATGAATTATGCCGTTTTCTCGTGCATTTTATTGCCTACAATAAGGCCAAATAGATTGAATAAGAAATATTTGGATATCCCTATGTAATAGTTGGAGAAAAAATCGTTTACGCATGTTTAATCTTCACCTTAAACAGAGAAAACTACCTGTGGTCTAAGTCAGATAGATCGCTCGTACCAGTTGGATGTGAGATTTATCAACTCGCTTCGCTCGTTGATAAATCTCACATCCAACTGGTACTCATGATCTATCCTATACGTAAAAATATTTTGCCGTCGGCCTAAAAAACAAGCATTATACAGTTTCATAAACCTTTTTAACAGTTATATTGTAAATCTCATCAAATATTGTTCATAAATTAGGATTTTAAACGGAAAACCCCACGGTAACACTAAAGTTCGTATATACGAATTTTAGCATGCAAATGAAGACAATAATCAGCTCGTGTATGCGCTTCGTCACATTGTTATAGTTGCTGTCCGGAACACAGTAATGCCTAGGTTACAAATAAAACGGGCGCCGTCCGATTAAACGATTTTTATAAAATCGGCAGATTTTTTGATGTCGTGGACGCCGGGCGATTTTAAATCTGATACCTTGCGTGGTCACGAATGAAACAGTCGTCGGGCGATTTTTGCCTAGTGGATTTTACAGAAAGAATTGAACGGATCACGCGGTCGCCGCCCGATGTCCGTACGGCGCCTGTGCGATTTAAAAGTGAATCGGACGGTTGCCGCGCGGGTGCCGGGCGACAATGACTTTACATTTAATGACATCCTAGATAAATCAGCCAGTTGTAATTATGCCAGCAAAGAAGTCAGCTGCCAAACCCAAGGGGAAGGCCAAGGAGTTGGTCCGTGTTGTTGTTAACGAGTCACCAGGCCGTAGAAGGCGAAAATCAATCAGACATCAGAAATATATTTTTGAGGCAATTACAACTTCTTCAAGCTGAAATTACAACAAACACAAGCAGCCCGGTCGCCGGATGACAAAACGATGACCGCCCGGTGCCTGTACATGAATCCTCCGGATACCGGGCGATAATCGTTTGACTACTTAGCTCTATTCAGGCACCGGGCGGGGCCCGGCCGATGTCCGCCCGGACGCCTTTTAAATCGGACGCTGTTTTAGTAGAACAAAAAATCGCCCGATCAAAAAATCATCGCCCGGTCGCCGCCCGGCGACCGAGCGATGTCCGCTCGATGATATTTATACTCAGTGACCCCAAAAATTATCGTCCGGCCGCCGTTAGCTTTTAAGTATTACTTAAAACTCGAAGGCGCCCGCCCGATGAGCAAAATTTTCAGCTGCTGCCGTCCGATAGTCACTGCCGCCGGACGGACGCCGGCCGATATTGCGATTTTTTTGAGAAACAGACGCCGCCCGGCGGCATTTTCTTATTTGTGACCTAGGCTTAAATATGAGATTTTCTTGTGCAAACACACTTAACGTTTTAGCTTCACGGTGAACCAGAAAAAAGTAATCATCTCAAAAAAAGGATTAAATTTGTATGAAAACATCCGTTACAATGCGGAAATATACCGTTAGATTAGAACTGCTGC